AGGCAGGGTTGAAACTCCACAATTCTTCAAATTAACATAAGCAGCAGTAAATATTTGAATCCATTTGCAAAGCACCAGCTATCTCCTGACTCCAATCAAACATATGATGGATCCAAGGTCCTCTGGGTGGTGCCAAGCAATAGGACAAGAGGCAGCAGGCAGAAGCCAAAACAAGGAATTCCACCAGAATAGAAGTAGAACCTCCTTACTGTGCGAGTGACCAAGCACTGAAACAGCTTGGCCAGAGAGGTTTTCGAGCCTCTTCCTTCTCTGGAGATATCTGAATGCCATGTGGACTCAACCCTGAGTAATGTGCTCTAAAAGAACCTGCATGAGATGACAACCAGTGGTCCCTTCCAACCTTACCTATATCCAATCTTAAACAAGAGTTCAACCCACATTTCCAGAAACTGGCAAGAAATGCAAACCTGATTTGAAGTGTGGAGCTGAATCTGAAATATGAGCACAATTTTTGTTCGTTCCCTTCCCTAGAAATATAACTGTCAAAATGTGTTTTAGGAAAGCTACTTTCACTAAAAACATAGTATTTTAAGCAAAAAAATCTTACACCTTATTCAAAGCACAACACATCTCTCAAAATTCCTTGGCATCAATACAACCTTTGTCACAGCTGTATTTACAAACTCTTTTGCTTACAAAAACGGTGTCTTAAAATAATATTAAGTTTGAAATTGAAGATTTGCACCTACAGAAATTCATCAGAGAAATTAGATTATAGTTGAGAGTGAGACATACTAGGAAAAAAAACAAAACTAACTGATACAGCCTCGGGTATTCTAACCAAAAATATATTTTGAGAGGTTTTCCCCAACATATACTTTAATATTTTTATTTCGCACAGCTGTAAAGCTATTTATTTATTCCAGTTTCTAAAGAGTTCAACTCAGAATTCAGAAGCAATAGTAAGAAGCGAAACTACTGTAACTTAAGATTTTAGTTCAAGAAACACCAAGTTAACAAAAACTTAAGTTTGTAAAAGGGCCGAGACTCAAACGTAAGAAAGACTTACAAATCCGTGGGCTCTCCTCGGGCCAGCTTCTCAGCACAAGCGTAGGCGCCTTTGTGCAGCCAGCAGTAGGTGTCCACAGCTACCGCCAGCCCTTTGTATTTCTTCACGTGGGAAGGCTCGGCAGCCTCCTTAATAAACTGGAGCAGGCCCTGGATCCCCATGATGCCGCAGAACGGGATAAAAAAGAAAAGAGCGAACACAAAGCCGAGTGCTTTGTGCTCTCGACCGTCAGTCGTGATCTTCGCTCGAGGCCCGTCAGGTCAGCTCACAGACCAGGGCCACGAGAAGCCCCTGCGGGTGCCCCCACGCACCCCGGCTCGGGGCCGCCTCCCCACGCGGCGGCGGCTGTACCTCGTTACGGGCCGGTGCTGCCCGGGGAGAGGGCCGAGAGAGGGGCCGAGAGAGGGGCCGAGAGAGGGGCCGAGAGAGGGGCCGAGGAGGGAAGCGGAGACTCGGCCCCCGCCCGCCCGCGCCTCGCTGGAGCAGCCGCAGCTCCTCCGGTCCAGCCCAGCTCAGCCCCGGGGCTTTCGAACAGCGCGCGCCGAGCGCGGCAGCCCCGCCCCGCGCACGGGGACTACGATTCCCATGGTGCTCCGCGCGGGAGGGGGCGGGCCCCGCTCTGCCGCCGTGGGACAGAGCATTGCTGACAGAGTCCGTGCCTCGCAGGCCGCGTGCGGCGGGCACGGCTCGCGGGCAGCGGCGGGAACGTGCCGTTTATAAACATTAAACAGGCAGAAATCAAAAGGCCCCGCAGAGTTTTAACAGGACAAGGGACTGAAGCCAACACCGTGAGAGGGAAGGGGAGGGGCTGGCACGGGTCACTGACTGCCAAGGATCAGTGAAGCACAGATGTTGTGGTTGCAGCGCTGAGACCCTGGGGTTCATGGAAGAACGGGTGGTCAAAGTTGCAATTAAGTGATACAGGTTATTTTTCTTGTCACTTAACGTAAAGCTTTGCTTGCATAAATAAAAATTGCAGTAAGAAGTAAATGTAGGCCAATATCTACCAGACAGCAGTTTATTTTCCTACGTGCAATTTTGAAGCCCGTACAGTTCTTAGATACTTTGACTCAGTCAAAGTGACATGGATGACTCAGTCAGCAGTGTAGAAAGCAATGTTTCCAGACAGGGGATAGCAAAGTTTAAATTCAATGCATTCTGGCAAGAGCATATCTAAATTGCAACTTCTCAGCTAAGAAATGCATAGAAATAACTTGGCCACAGTGATAGCTGTGAAAAATTCGGTTCACATAATTTTTACAGGATTTAAAAGTTTAATAAAAAAAACAATTAGGAGAAAAAAATAAAGTATACAAATACGGCCGGGTGTCTCTGCATTCAGCCAAGAGAGCACACCTTAACTAACAAAGGATTGCCCCTTAAAAACAGAACCCTACTACATATCCATAAATTCTCATACATATTCATACACTCTCATACATATTCATACATTTTTCTTAGAATCGTTGGTGTTCTTCTGTTTAGTTTTCTCTTGCCCCCTTCCCAATAGATCAATCTTCTTGGCGTCATCGAGATTTACATTCCTTGATACCAGAAATGCAATAAATTCCTCCCCCCAGAGTTCTGGTCACTGCTGTCTTCATCTGGATAAGATAGTTTACAAAAGGAAAAAGAAAGAGTCTCCAGCTATCTTTTTCAGTCTTTGGGTTATACAGACAAAAGTAGTTTTTGTTTTAATGCTATGTCATAGCTTAACATATATGTATTATACCACTATTTCTAAGTTTCATCAATAACAGAAATAAAGAAAACTATATTAATATAACAAAAATTTCCATTCTTATACACATAACATTCATTTTAATATTTGCGAAAAGCCAACAATATATGTATCTATAACAATAGCATAAGATGTTTTAATGTTGAAAATATTGATTGAATTCTGCTTTGACAATTCTTTTTTCACTCTGTGATTCTGACTATATATGACACACTTTACAAGTTTTAAATCCAATTGCAGTTAGGATTCCATTTGGATTAGGTTCACTTCTCTTAAGAATATGTTATCCTGTCACTTCTGACATTTCTTTTTCTATCAAACTGCTGTGCTCATGGGAAGAACAGAAATCAGAGTAGACAATGTAATGGACCAATATCATTCTAAATTTTATGTGCAATTCAATTAAATATATGTTTGACTATTTTCTGGAAATGGTGTTAAAAATAGTCCTAAGGTGAACCTGAGAGTCAGAAACACCAGAGCCAATGAACTTGCATTGAAGAAAGCCAGAGCTACAGAACTCTTGCCCAGCTCAGATTTTCCTTTTCAATTCCTTCAGCTGAAAGGATGGATACTTTGGAATTGAAGAGCTAGCACAGCATGCCTTAACATTCAGTTTATTAAAAATATTTTCAGCCATGCATGAACCAGTATGACCCACCCTCATGACATCTCATAACTTCTATAAAATAACAGAAACTTGATACCATGTGTCAAAGGCTTTGCTGATTTCAGTAGAGCTATCTCAAAACTGGCTGAAGACACTAATCTTTAAGTTCAACAGTGTCTCTTAGGAGAAAGTAGTTAGATGGTAACATTCTGATGAGTTATTCCTTTGAAGAATACCGTAGTATTGCAGTTTTATTTCTCATAGGTACCAGATGAAACAGGGAAGCAGAACTGCATTATGGTTACAAGACTTGTAGTAATATAGAGAATTCTTTTCTTTCACAAGTAGCTCCTGTATCAGGAGAGCTGGTAAGATTAGAAATTACTATGCCAAATCTCTGCTGTGTGTTTTTTCTTTCCTTGAGCAGTTTTGTAATAGTGACTTGCAAAATACATTTTAAAGAGATCTCAAAGTAGAAAGTGTAGCAGAAACATTTTGTTTTCTTTGCAATTGTTTTCTGACATGTAATAAAAAAAGAAGAGCTATTCTGAATATAGCCCTGTTTACCCCTAATAGAAATTTGAGATAGGTGCCCAAGAAAAAAACACTGAAAAACCTCCAGAACTGCTTCTTTCTCAACACAGCTCTCCTAAAGAGAGGAAATGGGATCACTGTCTGATGTAAACATCTAACCTTTACACAGACAAGTAAAGCAAAATTAAATTTGTCCCTGCTGTGCACTACAGTGGGCAAGGACATCTTGCAGATCTTTACTAAACTTCCTTCCGTGCAGCGTCTGGCACAGCTGGAAGTGTCTTTATGCAGTAGATTAAAATACTCAGGATGAAAAACAGCACTTTGCTGAAGCTCACAATCAGACCATCAGTTTTGGTGATATTAGTAGGTTGGGTGTCTGGTTTACACTTTTTTTTCCAAAATTTCAGTGAATTTCTTATTATCGCTACTATATTGTTTTCACTGCTTAAGAAGTTGATCACTTTTACCTCAAAAAGTTGGTTTGGAAGTTAGTTTGACTATTTAATCAATTTCTTAGAAGACAAATTTGATTTCTCTCTGATAGGTGGCAGTATTACATTCACTTCATCCTTTATCTGTCTTTTATTGAAATTTCTATTTATGGAATATATATTTTCACAGCTTTTTAAAGCTTAGTTAGGAAGCCAGACTTTAATACCACAAGCAGTACAATGAATAGTTGTATACACTTTAGAGAAGTTTAGAGGATGACATCCTTAAACTGTATTTAGTAGCAGAGGAAATGTTTTTAAAAGATCCTCTTTTATCATGAAAATATTATATGTTAGTATAGTTATTAAAAACCTAGATTATCTAGTTAACATAGTTTTGATATGGTTTTCTGCTGATTATGTTAGCTTAGTAGCTATTCTGAACTTCAGTGTGGCTGTGTTACCCGTGGCAATTTTTTATGTCTCTGGAAACCTAATGTCAGTATAGGGAACAAAAGCATGCTAAACTCTAGTATCTCAGTGCAGATTTTTCCCCTTGTGATCTGTCGTTGTGAAATCATACATCCGGGTGCTGCTAAAGCCTCCGCTCCTTGTAGCTGCCTGGCCCAGTCCGGCCCCTAGAGGCTTTTTGGGACAGAGCTTCAGCTGAAGCCGAGTGCAAGGGGCAGTTCAGTTTCACTTTCGAAGGTGCAGAGGAGGGAGATATTCTCTTAATTTGTAGGTAAATCTTCAAACTAGTCCTGCAGTCATTACTACCATTTTAAATTACTCTTGGGGGTTTTTTTTGGTTGGTTGGTTTTGTTTTTGTTTTGTTTTGTATTGCTTTTTTGGACCTCCCAATAACACAGGTGCCTCCTGACTCTCCAAGTCCGTCCAGAATTTGAGCTGTGCCAAGACGACTTTCTTCAGTTTTGGAACTATACAGAGCTCTCCATATATCATTAAGGCATGATCTAATAGCATTAACAGCTTGATTCAATAATTAACAAGAAATTGCAAAAAGACAAGGAAACTGCTGCTGATAACCACAAACAACTTGGCTGTGGGAAAGGAACAGCTGTGTCATTCTATTTAAAAGAGAGCCTGAGACGAAGAAACCCGAGTTCTTCTAGGGCAGGTGAGCAGCCTCTGGGGAGGCTGTTGTTACTGTCGATTTATTTGACTTGGTGCTGGACCCTCCCTGCACCTCAGGTAAGCTATTCCTAGACTTACACACTCTGCATGTGTAGTCTGTTTTTCTGAGAAAAAGGATTTTGACAGCATTCCTTTCCTTAATGTTTCTGGTAGCATGGAGTGAGCTAGCAGATGAATGCCTGTTTCAGGGAAGTCTACAGAAACATGAACCATACAGGGCTGTGGTTAAAATCTTGTTTTAAGCCAATAGCTCAACTAAAAGGACTTTTTAAATGAAAGCTTAAAATGAAACAAATCTTTTGTCGTGAGCAGGAAAACTATAGATGAGATGCACTTATGAGTTATGCAGGAACGGGGTAGGGCTTCCTTTGTTGTTGAGTGGCTGATTATAAGAGGCCTCTGGGGAGTGTGGCGAACAGGAGTGGGCAAACAGGGATGTAGCACGTCTCTGGGGGTGCAGATGAGGCAGGTTGCACAGGCAGGGTCACAGGTTTTCTTACTCATAAAATTTGCCGTGTGTTGTTTGCGGTGTTTCTGTTGGTGGTTGGTTTTGGGGTTTCTGTTAGTAATGGTTTTAACATGGTCAAAAACTGTGGTTAGTACAAGGGTATGTAACCAAATTGAACCCTCCAAAGACATTCCTGCCCGGAGTGTTTGAGCTTATCAGTGGTTTCATGGGGTGTTGTGGAGGAAACCTGCCTGTGGTGTGAACAGGTGAACCACCTCCTTTCACTGGTGGCCGAGCTTAGGGAGGAATTTGAAAGACTAAGGAGTATCTGGGAAAGTGAAAGGGAAATAGATTGGTGGAGTTCAGCCCTTCCATCTTTAGGGGAGGCCCACCAAATGTCAGAGGACTCATATGCTTCCCGCTGGCAGGCAATAGAAGGACACCTGGTAGATGAATGAGATTGGAAATGGGTCCCTGCTCAGGAAGGTAATAAAAATTCCTCCAGACCCCCATCCCCTATCCAGGCACCACTTCAGAATAGGTATGAGGCCCTGGATCTAGAGAATCAGCCAGATGATTTAGAAGAAAATTATCTGCCCAGTGTGCCTCCCAATTATGATTCATATATAAGACGAATCACCACCTCTAACAGCAAAAAGAAAAGAAGGGTGATCGTAGTGGGTGACTCCCTTCTGAGGGGAACAGAAGGCCCCATATGTCAACTGGACCCATCCCACAGGGAGGTCTGCTGCCTGCCTGGGGCCTGGGTCAGGGCCCCAGGGAGAGGGGGCTATCTCTATCACTGAGAGACTTCCTAGGCTGATTCAGCCCTTTGATTATTACCCACTGCTGATACTCCAGGCTGGCAGTGATGAGATTGAAGGGAGGAGTGTCAAGGCAATTAAAAGGGACTTTAGGGCACTGGCTTAAGTGGTTGAAAGGGCAGGGGCGCAGGTAGTGTTCTGCTCAGTCCCTTTGGTGACTGAGAAAAATGGTGCAAGGAATAGGAGAACTTACATCATTAACAAGTGGCTCAAGGGTTGGTGTCATCATCAAAAGTTTGGATTCTTTGATCATGGGGAAACTTTTACAGCATCTGCCCTGCTGGAACCAGATGGGATACATCTCTCTGTGAAGAGCAGAAGGTTTTTAGCTCATGAACTGTCAGACCTCGTTGAGAGGGCTTTAAACTAGGTTTGAAGGAGGAAGGGGATACAGCTGGGCTGTCTGGAAGCAGGCCCAAGGGTGGTAAGCCTGAGTTAGAGGTGAAATCGGTAGCCCAGCTGAGGTCCGTGTATACCAATGCACACAGTATGGGCAACAAACAAGAAGAGCTGGAGGCCATGGTGCTACAGCAAAGCTGTGATGTAGTTGCTATCATGGAAATCTGGTGGGACAACTCACATGGATGGAGTACTGCATTGAATGGCTACAAGCTCTTCAGAAGAGACAGGAAGGGGAGAAGAGGTGGACAGGTGACCCTATATATTAGGGAGGCTTTTGATGCCATGGGTATTGAAGCTAATGACGATGAAGTTGAATGCCTATGGGTAAGAATTAAGAGGAAGGCCAACAAGACTGATGTCTTGTTATTGTCCACCCAACCAGGAAGAAGTGGTGGACAACTTATTCTATAAAAAGCTAGATAATGTTTCAGGATCATCAGTCCTTGTTCTTGTAGGTGACTTCAACCTGTCATACATCTGCTGGGAACTTAATATAGCAGAAAAGAGGCAGTCCAGGAAATTTTGAGTATGGAGGTCAACCTTTTGTTGCAGCTGGTGGGTGAGCCCACCAGGAGAGGGACTAGGTTGGATCTGTTGTTTGCAAACAGAGATGGGCTGGTGGGAGATGTGGTGGTTAGAGGCAGCTTGGGGCACAGTGATCATGAAATTATAGAGTTCTTGATATTTGGTGAAATTAGGAGAAGCACCAGTAAGACTTTTACACTGGACTTCCAGGGGGCAGACTTTGGCCTATTTAGGAGACTTATTCAGAGAGTTCCTTGGGAAGCAGCCCTTAAAAACAAAGGAGTTCAGGAAAGGTGGACATGCTTCAAAACAGAGATCTTGAGGGCATAGGAGAACAGACTGTCCCTGTGTGATGAAAGACAAGTCAACAAGGTAAACATCTGGCCTGGATGAGCAGGGAGGTTTTGGAGGAACTTGGGAATAAAAAGAGGATATATCATCTTTGGAAGGAGGGTCAGGTCTCTCAGGAAGTATTTAAGGGGCTGCTAGAGCATGTATGAAAAAAATTGGAGAGGCCAAAGCTCAGTTTGAACTTAAAATGGTGACTTCTGTAAAGGATAATAAAAATGTTTTCACAGATATATTAATGGTAATTAATGGTAAAGGGAAGGGTAAGAGCAACCTTTGTTCTTTATTAGATGCAGGAGGGAACTTAGTAACTGCAGATGAGGAGAAGGCCGAAGTGCTCAATGCCTTCTTTGCCTCAGTGGGAAAACAGCTTGCCTTCAGGACAAGTGTCCTCCTGGATTGGTAGATGGTGGCAGGGAGCAGAAGGGTCCCCACGTTATGCAGGAGGAGGCAGTCAGAGAACTGCTGAGATCCTTGGATATACATAAATCTATGGGACCAGATGGAATCCACCCCAGAGGGATGAGGGAGCTGGCAGATGAGCTTGCGAAGCTGCTCTCCATCATTTACCAACAGTCTTGGCTCACAAGCTGGCCAATGTGACACCCATTCACAAAAAGGGTGGGAAGGAGGATCCTGGTAATTATAGTAATTATAGACCTAGTAATTATAGGCCAATCAGCCTACTTACCTCAGTACCAGGTAAGGCAGTGGAGCAGTTTATAGTGAGTGCCCTCAAACAGCACTTACAGGATGGCCAGGGTATCAGACCCAGCCAGCATGGGTTTGGCAGGGGTAGGTTGTGTTTGACCAACCTGATCTCCTTTTATGACCAGGTGACCCGCCTGGTGGATGTGGGAAGGGCTGTGGATGTTGTCTATTTGGACTTTGACACTGTCTCCCACAGAACACTCCTGGAAAAGCTGTCAGCCCAGGCTTGGACAGGAGCACTCTGTGCTGGGTTAGGAACTGACTGGATGGTCTGGCCCAGAGAGTGGTGGTGAATGTGCTGCATCCAGCTGGGGGCAGTCACCAGTGGTGTCCCTCAGGGGTCTGTGCTGGGGCCAGTCCTGTTCAATATTTCTATTGATGATGTGGATGAGGGCATTGAGTCCTTCATTAGTAAATTTGCGGATGACACTAAGCTGGGCGTGTCGATCTGTTGGAAGGGAGGAGGGCTCTGCAGAGACACCTGGAACAGTTGGATGGGTGGGCAGAGTCCAACAAGATGAAGTTTAATAAGATGAAGTCCAAGTGCTGAGTCCTGCATTTTGGCCACAATAACCCCCTGCAGTGTTATAGGCTGGGGACGGTGTGGCTGGACAGTGCCCAGGCAGAAAGGGACCTGGGGGTGCTGGTGACAGCAGCTGAACATGAGCCAGCAGTGTGTCCTGGTGGCCAAGAAGGCCAATGGCCCCTGGCCTGGATCAGGAATGGTGTGGCCATCAGGAGCAGGGAGGTCATTCTCCCCTGCACTCAGCACTGGTGAGGCCACACCTGGAGTTCTGTGTCCAGTTCTGGGCCCTCAGTTTGGGAAGGACATTGAGACACTTGAGCGGGTCCAGAGGAGGCAACAAGGCTGGTGAGGGGCTTGGAACACAACTCCTGTGAGGAATGACTGAGGGAGCTGGGGTTGTTTAGCCTGGAGGAGACTCAGAGGTGACCTTATCATTCTCTACAACTCCCTGAAAGGTGGTTGTGGTCAGGTGAGGGTTGGTCTCTTTCTTCAGGCAGCAACAGACAGAACGAGAGGACATAGCCTCAAGCTGTGCCAAGGGGAAATATAGGTTGGATATTAAAGTTTTTCTTGTAAAAAGTGATAAAGTACTGGAATGTTCTGCCCAGGGAGGTGGTGGAGTCATCATGCCTGGATATGTTTAAAAACAGACTGGATGTGGCACTCAGTGCCATGGTTTAGTTGAGGTGTTAGGGCTGGGTTGGTGTCCTGGGTTGATTATGATGTTAAATTGTACCCTCATTCGTCTACCTAACCCAGACACAGGTTTTGTATTCTTAAAATTCCATCTAAGAGTAAAAGTGAGTGGAAAAGAAGCACCGAGTCTGTTATCAGAGACTGTACTTGCTCCCCCCGCATCGGGAGTTTTGACTACAGCACAGACAGACAACAAACAGATTGCCTTGGCTTTCCAAGTAGCTGGAGCAGAGAGGTCTTCCTGGACTGTTTCTTTCCCTTTTCTGAAACGAATCAAACCTGCTCTGGACTGGGGACTTGGGAGAGCACCGGGAGCTTGCACCCGTGAACTACTGAGAACCCAGCCTGGGCAGCGGCATTTTCCAGCGCCAGAGGGACTGATAACAGAGCAAATACCCACAGGAAAGAGACCCTCTGAAGTTTGTCATCTTTTCTGAATGGCGAGAGGTTTTGTAATTTGATATCGTTCATTTTTGTGCTGGGTAGTGCTGTGCCTGTGAAATAAACAGGTTTTTTCCACTTCTCTCAGAGAAATCTCTTCCCGAACCGGTTGGGGGGTGGGAAAAAAAGGGCCACGTGGGTTTGCTTCCCGGGAGAGCCCCACTAGAAGTTTTCTCCCAAATTTGCCCTAAACCAAGACAGTTAGACTTGATGATCTTTATGGTCTCTTCCACCCTGGTCATTCTGTGAATTCTGTGAGATTCTCAGAGATCTGATTCTAGCTCACAGAATTTTATGGGACTTTCAACTGAGAAAGAAGAGCAGAAGATAGATGTTTATTTTTCAGGTACAGGCTCCTCAGAGCACAGTGCAGTGGGCAGGAGAGATTATCTGCAGCACTAACAGGAAGATAATATTTTGCTGCTTTATTTGGGTGAAGTTGCCCTCTCCCTTTCTTAGAGCAGGCAGCTGATGGTGGGTGCTTCCACAGTGCCCGCTGCCCTCTCAGTATTACTGTCTGCTCTCATACATAGTCTCAGGCCAGAAGCTGGGGATAGATTCATGCTGATCTTCTTTCTTACTCTCTCCTTTGTCCGTCCTCTTATCTTCTGTATTTCTGCAGGTGCTGTAAAGATAGGGGTGGGACTAGACAACAGGGTACCCTGATTCATCTGCAAATGCATGTGTCTATATACTCCTAATCTGGCCTTTAATGAGGAGGATTTTTTACTCCTGGAAGTGAAAAGTATCCTTTTTTATTCTGCTTTTCACTGACTTTACTGGTTCATGTTACAGCCACTGGATACAGTTACATTTAAGGCACTGATCTTGCTAGAGATATCTTCAAACCAGAAAGACCAGTTAGCATCTTGTTAAATTGCAGCTTTCCAAAAAATGGCATCATTAGTGAGGGCTTTAATATATTTTAGGTCACTTGAAGAGAATAGAGACTTGCAAACTAAAGAGAACAGAGTCACTACTTAATGCACTCACTAGTACCTATCTGTAAAGGTCTTAAAGTCTTTTTCGTCCAGTCTGGAGCACAGTTAGAGACAGAGCTTGGTAGCACTCAGTTTTACACAAGCCTGGTCACAAAAGTGGACTGACATAGCCTCTAGTTTATACAACCACATTGATAATTCAAATATATTTCACACAGGTTATACAAGACATACAGACGCTTCATCACATTTTGTTAGAATTTTCTTGTATTTCTGAGATGAAAAAAGAGGCTTTGATGCAAAAAAAAATAAAATTCAGATTTCAGATATTTTGCTGGGATGATTCTCTGGAATCAGATAGGGTTATCAGATATTATTTGTGCTTTCTGGGGAAATGGGGGAGCCCCAGTTACCTACCATTTCCTTTGCATTTGTTACATCTAGCCATACTAAGTACCCTGTGAATTTCTGTTTCTCATGTAAGTGTTCTTTGTGCTACATGGAATAAAACTAAAATAGGTTAATCATTAACTAATTTTGCCAGTAGCAGCTGAACAATCTCGTGTGTTCCCAGCTGTAAATAATCTATAATCTGTTTTTTTATTTTTTTGTAGGTACTGATTTCATTTCCAGCAGGAAATGAAAAACATTTATTTATTTCTCCTTTCCATCTTACCTTTTCTTTTGAAAGTCACTGGCACCAAAGATGTTATATTTGGTCATAATAATTTCACAGAGTATCAAGTGGGAAACATGAACCTCATTCTCTCTGTCCCACATGGTGGGTCCATGGAACCTAAAGACATCCCTGATCGAGAGGCTGCCTGTTGGGATGCGAAGACATCCTCTTGTATTTTCTCTCATGACTGCCCTCCTGGAAGTATTCAAAATTCTGAGAAATGCAAAGTATCTACCAACCAAGACAGGTATACTATAGAGGTGGCTCAGGCTCTTGCTGAAGAAATCAACATTACTCATGGCTTCTTCCCACATATCATCATAAACCACCTACAGAGGTTCAAGATGGATGCTAACAGGGAAAAGGAAGAAGGCTCCTTTGGAATTCCCCAAGCAGAACAGGCCTGGGAGGACTATATGGGATTTTTGACCACTGCAAAATCACAGATGTCAGAGGGCCTAATTCTGGATATCCATGGACAAGCACATCCTGAAAGGTGGATAGAACTAGGTTACACACTTTCAAAAACTTCCCTTAACTCAGGTGTCTTTTCTGCCTTGAATTCCTCAATTAGCCATCTGGCCAGTCAGCTAGTAAATGTGTCTTCTGAGACTTTGGTTGCAGGGAACAGAAGTTTGGGTAAATATATTGAAGAACAAAATAAGAGTTATGTTTGTGTGCCTTCTCCATCCAATCCTAGCCCAAATAATGGAAACTATTATAGCGGTGGGTACATAACAAAGACTTTTGGTTCCCGTAGTTCTGGCACCATTGATGCCATTCAGCTTGAATTGCCCCAGTGGGTGAGAGCAGCTGAAGAGCGTCACAGATTTTGTAAAGCACTGGCAAGGGCTGTAATGAAATTCTGGCAAGCTAACTACTGCAGCCAGTACAAGCACAAACTTCTGCCATGCTGAAAGAAGCAGTCTTGTTAAGATATCTGTTCTTAATAGTGATCTGGAACAACCAAACAACTCATTCAGCTGGAACATTTAAGCCTGCAAAATAATTGTGGATGCTGATAGAAAGAAACCATCCTGCAAAGGAATGCATCAACATAGAGGAAATCCACAGTTAACACCAACAAATCCATTAACACATAGCTTTGCACCAGGCCCAGCATTGAAAAGACTGATGTAAGATGAGTGGGTGCAACTATCACTTGCCTGTGCTTAATTTCTTTCCAGTCTCATCCTCTGTTTTGAAGCACATAATAAACAATCTTCTAATAAATTCTGTGCAATACCTTAATGGATTATCTATTCAAAGAAATTAAATGTCTCTGCTTTTCTTTTGACACTTAAGAAAGACAGTTGGATAATATCATTGTATAAAATGTTTGGGGCCAGGATCAGTTTCCATATGGTGCTTATAAAGCCCTAGGATTTGGAATTAAAAAGTACCGCTGAGCAATGACATACAGTCTGATCTACTTCAGGTTTTTTTAATATAATGAACCAGGAAAAAAAGATCTGATAGCACTTACAGCACTGTAATTTTGTCACACTTTAAATAGCATAACAATAAGGTGTTATAAGTGACTGGACGGAAGGTTGACAAAGATAGCAAATACATACCATGCATTTTTGACAGTTTTCCTTACAGCATAATTCCCTCCTGAGAGCTTGTCCATTGATTTCATTCACCATAGGATTAAACACTTGATTGTTACTGGCAATAGTACTACATTTAGGATAGTTTCTGCACAGTGGAGAATATAGTGGCATGAATAGCCATGACTACAAGTCAACTCCTAGAAAACCCAGGCAAATAATAAGGAAAACCAAAGGGAGAAGGAAGCAAGACTGAAAAGGGTACTATTTGAAAATTAAGAACCTATGAAATCCTAGCACTGATAAAAGTTTGGTAAAAAGAAAATATAGATTAAAAAGTCAGTTTTGAGGAAGTAAATAGTCAGTTAATAAAATGAAGTGGGATATCTGCATCTTGCAACCACAGTAAAATAATTTAGGCCTGACTATTAGGAGGGACAATGCCAAAGAGAAAACATTACATATGTTAAAACATAACACATAGGAGCATCAAAATAAGTGGGTAAGTATCTCTCTGAACCTGAACTGTCCATTTTTAATCATCTTTGAAGACTAGGCAATTTTCGGGTAACTGAAAGAGACTTTATGTAGCTTTCAAAATTATACAGGGCTCAGAATTGCAAGAATGTTACTTTTCATAGGCTAACCTGCTAAATCATAGGTCAGATGAAGTGAACACAAGTTGTAAATGACAAATTACACTTTATCTGGTGCCACCTGGTTTGTCAGACAAGTCTGATTTTAATTCTGATCACAAGGTTTGCTAATGTGGTAGGCTGACCCTGGCAAACACCAAGTGCCTGCCCAGTTTCTTGCTTCCTTCCTTACTTCTCCCAGTGGGATGGGGAAGAGATGTGGAAGAGCAAAAGCGAGAAGATTCTTGGGCCACAGTGAAGACAGTTTAATAGGTGAAGCAAAGCTGCATGTGCAAGCAAAGCAAAACAAGGAATTCAAGCACTGCTTACCACAAGCAGTCAGATCTTTGTTTAGCCACTTCCTGGGAAACGGCCTCAGCACACATAATGAATGGTTACTTGGGAAGTGAATGGTCACTATAGGGAAGACAAACACAATAACCATAAACATCTTGGTTCCCTCCCCCATTCCATGAGGATGTTATATGGTACGGAAAATTTCTGGTCAGTTCAGGTCAGCTGTCCCAGCTGTGTCCCTTCCCAGATTACTCACTTGGTGTGGGGAAAAAAGCACCTTCTTCTTGTGCTGGCATTGCTCAACAATAGCCAAAACACTGTTGTGTTATCAGCACTGTTTTATTTACTAATCCACGACACAGCACCATACAGACTGCTATGGAGAAAATTAAGTGAATCCCTGCCAGATCCGGTACAGCTGATAAATAAGAATTTTAAATATACTCCCATAAGGTATTTTGCAGCTACCCTTAAATCCATCATAGCCTTGTAACAAGTCAAAGGCAGGTAAATAATTGCAAGTCATTCTATATACACTTCATGAAAGAATGTCTTTTCAAGAAGTCCTGCAGATCAAACACCATTCAATACCAGTGATATAGAAAACCTGCTATTTTCCCCGAAATAGCAGGTAATAATATCACTAGTTATATGCATTATCCTAACTACTCACTAAGGTGAGACACTTGGCACTATTTGTATGTTTAGCCAAAGGATGAAAATGTGTTCTGTGCTCTGTGTCAAGTTATGACATTGTCATGGAATGCTGAAATGCAAGAAAAGATTTGCAGAATCATGATAATCATGATGGATAATTAATTGACTATGAGCTCAGCAGACACTTTCCTGGCTTAGAAGATGAACACACTCTTTGAAAGCATAAGCAAGGAATGAACAGGCAGAAACAGCCGGGCATATTAACTCTTTGTTGACTTTATGATTAATATGTCAGGAAAAAAGCAGTGTAATATTTAATATTCAGGAGTTCAAACTGGACAAATTGAAGCAGAGAGCAAATCAGTGGTTTTGACATAAAGTGTAACTGTCAGCAAATATACATTAAGTCAAATGGTCTTTTCAAAATCTAGTTATAATCATACACTGGCTTTATTAGAATTAATTCATTGCATGAAGGATTGGAATAGAAGTAAAGATTTGTTTTTTATATGTTCTACTTAATAATGAAACAGATTTAAATGTAACTGAAAAGAAAAACAGAGAAAAAATAACAAAAGAAATCTGCTAATCCACTTTAATGAAGATGGAAACTACATTTATTTGTTATGACTCAAGTCTTCAATGGAACCTGGATCCTTTTCCCGTCCCTTGTGACTGGACTTCTCAGCTTTGATCCTTTGAAGACCTTTAAAAAATTTCAAGACCTAATTAACATATTGAGACAACAAACCAGATTGATAGCATTTTGTAACAGCACAGACAAAAAATGTGTTTTTGTGCACATAGCTTACAGAAAATGTCTGATTTCATTTTGTTGTAAATCCATTCCATTCAGAATAGTTGCTCCTAATTTCCCAAGGCACAAGGACCCCCGTATTTTATTTTCTTTTTCAGGAAGAAAACAAAACACAGATTTCCAAAGTACATTAGTGGTCAGTAAGATAGCCTATGTGCCAACTATTTGAACACCATACTCCTGAGTTTTTTTCTGACACACAACAATGCTGTATGTACAAGAATTAGGTCATATACATTGGAATGCAGAATTGGAATGCAAAGTGCTCTATTAATCCCACCTCACCAGCCATCTAGGATCTAACTCTTATCCAAGTTAGTTCTCTAGGTACTAGAGAAAGGGATCAGCACCTTTGCTAGGGGTGATTCTTCTCATCCTATTACATGTGGGATAGACAAGCCTGTGGAATATTCTGATTTTGGTTCATAGAAGAAAAAACCTAGGAAGCTTTGCTAGACATCTTGCAACAGATCAGATTATTAATACCCATAAAATAGTACTACCTTACAATACTCAAAGCTCTGGGCAGATGGGAATCAAAAGGTTTGGGGCTGGTTAAAAGAATCGAGTCTCAGCAAAACATTAATGACATGAGGTTGAACAGGAGGACTAAACATCTGCAATACTCACTCTTTGGCATGCTCACTTCAACTGGATTCTCAAGCTTCCACCAAAGTTCGAGTTGGAGTTGGATAGGTAGTAATGAAAATCATGTTAGAAAGTTAAGTTGAGAAGCAGACAATTTACAGTGGAATGTCAGAGAATGTCACTGTAATAACATACAAGTGCTAATGGCTTCTGATGTGGAATGCCACCACAAAAGGTAGAAAACACTTGTGCTTACCTCATATATAGGAAGAAACCCAAATACTGCACCAGCCTCTTTGCATACAAACTCAAAAGTTTCCATAGGTTGGCGCTGATCAAGGGAAGACAAAGTCAGTGCATCAGTAGTTGAAGACAAAAGGTAACAAAGACATTCTTACTATAACTGCAAGAGAAGTTTTATATTCCCATGATTTTTAAGGTTAAAGCCAGGTAAAGATGGAAGAGCTCCACTGATATTCAATTAGAGTTGTAGAAATTACGTGAAATGAAATCTCTCTCCTTGCTTCTGATTTCGTAGGAGCCTGAAAGAACTATTGTAACCAAACAGGGATTCACTGTTATTCTAGTATATTCATACATCCTTCAAGTAAACTTAAGCTATTTAGGTTTTCTACTGAAGCAGAGGAAAATCCTAGGTTTTTTTTTTTTACATGTTTAAACCAGTGAATCAGTTTGTGCTGCCTTCTAAACTGAAATTTGAAAATGTGAAAAATGGGAATGAAAACCATAGACATTTCTTAGATCCCTCTGTTTTTGCTTTTTTGTTCTAGCTTGTCCATTGAATGGGCAAGAAAGATATGTAGGGTTATTTATGGATAATTTTTAAATGAGAAACACAAATTTATTTCCTATATGTTGCACAGAACATAAATTTGTCATATACATTAGCTACCTTTTCAGGAGCCAGAGCTTTGAAAAACTTGAAGGTCTGAGTTTCTTCCTCATGTCCAGCCTTTTCTAAATCTGAAGGTGATCTAGTCAGTGATTTCCACCTGTATGTACAAGACAGAAAAAATCTGAAGTTCCTATCAAAATGACAGTTATGAACACAATATTTTTATATGTCTCCAAAATGAAATTATTTTATATAATATATTATATATCCAAATATTTAGTTCCAAATATAGAAGAAATTATCTAGAGTGTCTGTTAGTGCAGATTAACAGTTGCCTTTATAATCAAAAAAATAAGTCAGGTCACACAAGCTAAGGAACTACAGGGAGAAACTGAGACAATTCTATATATACCTGCTGGCATTTTCAATAGATCTCCTGAGATGCTTGTTTAAACTGTAAGCACCTATGCTGCTCAGATGGGTTTGTGCCTTTTCCAGCACGTGCACATTTGGGGAATATTTTCCCACAGCATTCTCCTGGAGAAGCTGGCTGGTCATGCCTTGGCTGGGTGCACTGGGTGCTGGGTAAGAAATGACTGGATGGCCAAGCCAAGAGAGTGGTGATGAATGCAGTTAAATCCAGCTGGCACACCAACAGGTGGTGTTCTCCAAGGCTTACTGATGGGCCCAGTTCTGTTTAATATCTTTACTGATCATCTGGACAAGAAGATCAAGTTCACCCTCAGTAAGTTCGCAGATCACAGCCAGTTGGATGGGAATGTTGATCTGCTGGACTGTGGGGAGCCTCTGCAGAGGAACCTGGAT